AGTGGAAAATGCCAAGACTGCTTTGAGTTGATATGAAGGCAACAGTAACTCAAATAACCAAGTGTTACAACCAAGGTATGCAGAAGAGCACACCGATCTGGTACAGCAGCAGAAGACCACACGAGATGCTACTCCTTTCAACAAAGAACAGAAAACTGAGTCTATAATGCAAAATTGCACAATAGAAGAAAAGAAAAACTTACATTTCTGCTGTGATCTTCAAGTGGAAGGATCCGAATTTGTAGTAAGCAACATGAACGAATGGATCTATCCAGATCACAAAGACCAAATCACCCTAAACAGGTTTCTTGAATTTGAAAGCATCCAATTAAACCCATCTGGGATGTAGTGGAACAAGAGATTCTCATTATGGATGTGTAGCCAAAAACACTGCAGCAATTATGTGATGCTATCATGTCAATATGGGCCAGAATCTGTTAAGGATGTAATGTGTAAAAATACCAAGACTGAACTAGACTTCTAGCATGCCTATTGAAATTGCCCAGATAATGCCCAGTTTACTGGCAAATTGGCAAATAACACCAACATAGTGGCAGTCTGTAGTAACTGTTCCAATACTCACGGATTAAGTGAATACTTTGAAGCTGAGGTGACTGAGTGGAATTCAGGTGATCGTAATATTAGAAGTATTCATCCACTGGGGAACAAGAACAACATGTCTATTCAGCAGTTTTGTGTGATGCTTAGCTTGAATAAGAAGCACGCTGTGGTTTAATCTAAACGTGTATGTACTGTTGATGTTATTAGTAATTAGGAAAGAAAAAGTATTGCAGTAAAAATAGAAATCACATATGGAAAGCGAATTAAAATGCATAGAGATTAAGAGGTTTGTATTTAATTAATTCAGGATTTGCCTCAGCAGGTAGACTTTTAACAGGGGCTGTGGCTGTAATGGACAAAGTGAAGTGAAGGCAGGAGAGGACAGACTGCAGTCCTCAGTGGCTCATTATAGTGAGAGAGGAAGACCAGCAGTAGGATTGCAATATGATAGAAAGATAGAGCGAGATGGTATGTGTCTGTATTTCTAATGTTTTGCTAAATCAGAATCAGATTAGATGTTTTCCATATAAGGTTGCACCTGATGCTATTCTAGCAGAAAGGTTTGGCCCGATGGATCTGAACTCCTTCGTTCATTCACAGGAATGAACATAACTCTCCCCCACTCTGCCTTCATCATCCCTTCCCCCACATGCCAACTGCTAAATGCATGCTGCAATAACACTCTTCACGGACAAAATCTGCAGAGCTTCCACCAGCCATCAGCAAACATAAGCATCAAAACATCAGTACACACAGTGTCGGAGTATGTTAGCCCGAGGAACGTAAGGCGAGACGGCAGTCTGTCCTCCTGCCCCACTGAATCTAAACCAAAACGACTTTATTTTCAATCTTCCGCTTGTTTTGGAATTAAACAAAAAAGATGGACTAGATTTTAGTCATGTTATTCAGGAGGCCAGTCTACCGCTGTCCAGGTTTTTGCAGCCAGACTTTATCAGCATCAACACAAGTGTTCACAGCCAGAGTGCTAACTAGGCCACAGCATGGTATGCGACCCATGAGAAGGCTCTGTGGCCCCTTTTTGTTTCTCAACCATCTGATACTCTGCCCGCTGAGGTGGAAACTTACCCCTCTCAAACAGAGGAATGGGAACTGAAGCCTCTGGTATCAGTAACAGGGTGAGGTTGGACATTTTATGTTTTCTTAAAGAGACGCCCCCCCAAAAAAAATTCCTGCCTTGAGTCACTTTGACAATAAAATCATCTGAGATGAGTTGCCTCTTCCTGAACAATGCTGCATGTTCCTGTTGTGAAATAAAAGACTGGATAATTGCTTGACAGATGTGTTTTGTAGACCATGCAGCTATCTCACTTCACTGCTGCGGGGAAGAGATTAACATCAGCACAGTGTGTACAAAGTTGACATATGTCTTCTGTATCTCAGAGATAGTTGGGTTGCGACTTGGTGAAACAAATTGTAATTACTGCTGAAAGAAAGCAACTCGCTTCAGGCAACTAAATGTGCTTTAAAATTGCTTTACCTCAACTCCAGTAAAAACTCCTTTCTAAGGTTTTAAAGGTCTCCCTCATGCTGCTAAATCTGGTTCTGACTCATTGGGCCGTGGACTTGGAGCCTTTGGTGTCCTGTGAGGACGTGGGCAGCTAGTGCTTTGAGTCCTGTGGAGTGTGGAATGGGGACTCCATGAACTGGGCTCGTTCAAGTGGATGCTTGATCTGATTGGGATGTGGGGAGTTTGGAGGCCGGATCAAGTGAGCTTTCGGTTCTTTGTCACACTTCTCAAGTAATTCGTGAGCCAATTTTGCTGTGGGCTGGAGTAAACTGTCCTGCTGTGGGAGACTGGTAAGAGGAGCTGCATAAGAACCATTAGAAACGCGGTAGATGTCAAAATAATATCCATGTGAACCCCAATCACCCAAGATTTCCCAGTAAAACATTGCAATGTAATGAGATAAATAACATTATTAAATTCCAATGATTTTAATGTTGTGACTGATCAGTGTATACACTGTTTGGCAATTCGAAAATAAATTAACCTTTTGTTTTTAGAAGCTCAACATACTCAAGAAAACAGGAAACTTTCTGACACTAAACTATATGTACATAGTAAATAAATAGATGTGTGTGTATGTATATGTGTCTATACATATATATATAAATATATATATATTTTTTATTTTATTTTTTTATAATAGATCTTTCCACCCTGAATGCAAGCCAGTGACTGAGATAAATATCTTCTCTGTTGATACCTTTGGGCAAAAAACAACATTCAGGCCAGAGAGCTTTTTATCTCAAGTACTGACTTGTGATAAAGGATATAATGTGTGTTAAATTGAGCATGAATAAAGCTTTCTGTTAGCGAGAGCCTTTTGTTACCCTCCCCTTTCGCAGCCTCAGCTTGTTTCAGGCCAGCTTGGCGAGAAAACGTTGCAAACTCACCATCACAACCGTTCAGCTACACAATGAAGGACATTTTAGGGCCTTGCAAAAAGGGTCACTTACATATATTTCTTGTAGTGCACAGTATTTAGTCGTTTAATGTTCTTTTTCACCACCGAAGATCCAAAGTGTCAGCGTGTGTACTCCTTGGCGGTTAGAGTAGTGTTAAACACAGCTTTGGGACACTGAAACGTCATAAAAAATGTATTAAACTCTGAGGTTGAGATCACCTTTGTAAGCGGAGTTTCCCATTGCAGGTTTTCCACAGATTGCAAGCCCTGAAGCGGACTGAAAAAAAAATCCCTTCCACTCCTGCTCTAGACTCATATCAAATTTAAGCATCACCGGCTGGATGATATTGCAGTTGACAAACTAGCGTGAGAAAAACTAGTACAAAAAAAAGTAGACATAAACAAGAGTGTAATTAAACAGGATTTCACTGAGAGAACCTAGTGAGCGTTAAGTATTAGAAGAACATATGACACCTCTAGAAAGATTAAGCGTCATGCACTGCCTAAGGAACTGCATTTACCCACACTGCCTTGGGAAACAGCCAAAAGGACACAGCCACCCTGCAATGCACACACACTAACTGTCAGTAAAGCTCAGCAACTTCACTGCCGGGGTCCATTCATACACATTAAACAGGTCCTGTGTGGCTGCTGCTGTATCTGTTTCCCTCCATCACTACTTTTCACTATCTACTCATCTCGCTCCACTGTTTTGGGAGGAAACGCTTCTGGTCACAGAATGTAGCTCGTTGTTCTACTCTATCCTCAGACAAATACCAGTATTTTCTCTTTCTCCTCCCTGCGTTTCTGCCATTAAATCAAAGCCTGAGAACATTGAGAACACGAGCTGTGGGAGGATGAGATTATGCAAAGTATGTTATCTTCTTCTAAGTGCCTTAAAGGACATAGCTGGTGTTATTGTATATATTGTACTATATTAACACTATCAAGGAAAAGGCCACAGCCATATGCCGTCATGCTGAGGCCCATTTTTACTGCCTGACATGCATCTTCGTTTCTGTAAATTATATAAGATGTTTTATTTTTTTAATGTTTAGAAATGTTTGAAAACTGTTACACGAAGTACAAAATCAGTTATTGGTCAGGAACTATTTACAACTGCGGATTAACTCTCTCCAGCAGGACAGTGTACATGTGACAAACTGAAACTACACTGCAGTGCTGCCCATGATCATCATAAGAAAATTTGACTTTTGCCTCCAAATCATTTGCTTTATGTTAAAATAATCCAGTTTCTACACAATGAATATATGTTTTTACTTTCTTTTTTTTTTTGCATTTTAAGCATTGTGACCAGATAGTAGAAGGCACTTAGCAATTAGTGTCTAATTTTAGCACATCCGCCTTCGCATACTGTGTCCAAATTTAGAGCCATGTGATGAGAACGTTAATCCTCTAAATCCTAAAGTCAAGAATGGAATTCGAATGGGAGCTCAAACAAGACAAATAAGATATATTCTTGTCTCTCTCGTCTGTACCTATCTGCTTTCATTAAATTATCTAAGATAACACCAGTGTTTGGAAAGCTTCAAGAACAGGGATGCTTAGCTCTGCTTCTCTCTCTTGGTCTCGTTCAGTCGTGCAACATCATAGCATGGGCATGAACTCTCCATGAGTGAGCTGTAAAATCGTGCATCCTTTCCTTGTCATCCAAGGGCGGCATAAAATATTTCCAAGGACCACCTCTGGCCCGTGAGCTGCGTTTTGAGAACCCTGGCAGCAGAAGAATAATTGTGGTGTAGTAATAGCGACAGCTGTAGAGCAGATTTGAAACACTTTGGGAGATTAGGAAAGAGTGAGCAGAAATTGAATAACCCACAATAAACTGGAGGAACCCTGACATTACTAAGATCCATCCAGTTTCATTCAACATGCAGTTACCATGCCAACCTGTTACCAGACTGCAGCTGGAATCGGGGAAATGCTTCTTGGCCACGGTGCGATAATGAAAAGTCCTGTTCAACAACAAGAAAAACGATAATAACTCACCGAGATGTCGAAAAGCTCCTCTGTGTCATCCAGCATACGGACCCTGATGGTGACGTGTCGTCCGGGGGGCATGGCCGGAGGTCTGTGCCCGGGATCTAACGTACTGATGCCAAGGGTCTCCGGAGCTCCGAGGCGCTGCCCTGCGCCAGAGGAGATTGTGTCTGGGTCTGGCTCTGCCATGGTGTGCTGCACTGCTCACTGCTCAGCCTGCATCAAGGGCAAGACAGAAGTCAAGCACAGAAAAACATATTCAACCTAAAGGGTAAAATCTGAAACTCCCGTCTCACAGCATCAGCAATGTATGTGCAGTACAGCCCAATGTCCCAGAGGATGGGCTGCACGACCTTTCATGTCACACAAAACACAGTAATTGTAAATGCAGTATTTGCACTCGCTGCTAATGGCTAATAATTGTTGCCAGTGGGAGACCCAATTAATCTAAAAAAAAAGAGTGAGGCAAGTTCTTGATTTCAAAGCACAAATCAAGCAGCCCTAATTTGATTTAACAAATGAATCATGAGGCTAGAGAGTAAAAATCAAAGAGCCGGTAGAATGACAGTTGATTTGGGCAAGTTTTACGACCGGCACATTAAGGCCAGAGACACTGAGACGCACGCTTGGGATTCAATAGGTCTCAGAGGGCAGCAAATCAGACACGTAAAGACGCTGCAGGAGACGCGAACGTAGAATAAACACAGAGTAATAGGAATTAACCGAAAACACTCCAGATGATGAAATAACTATATTGCATCGGTTATCAATAAACTGCAGGTTTAAAGTAGCGATAACAGATAACATACATCGATTTCTTTCCACTTACCCAATTCAGCTGTCACTGGGCAAGCAGGGAAAGAGATGGGGTACACCTCGGACAAGTCACTAGTCAATCAGAGCTAACACAAAGACAGGCAACTGTTCACTCTCACATCCACCAATTAACATAACACGAATGCCTTTTGGCTGCGGGAAGAAGCCCATGATGGCAAAGGGAAAACATCCACCTCCGTGCAACCAGGCTCTTTCCGATCCATAACTAATAGATGAATGGCTTCAACAGGCCACAGAAAGTAACTAACATGACAAATATAAATGATGGGTACCATCGCTACAAAGCATCCAGTGCTGGTGGTTCACATCCAAAACCAGAAAGAGCCGGGGTACATCTGGAATGTGGGAAAATCTGCAGTATCACTCAGTCAATACTCTCCCAGATGGCTGAATGTTTTGGACAAAGTCATGGATTCATTTCGGGTTGACACTTGATCAGGCCACTATCCCCCCCCTCCACCCCGCCACCATGTATCTACAGCCAGATCCCCTTAGGCCCTGCTGTCCTGCTTAATTCTCTCTTCATTACACATTCCAGCAGGCTGATGTCATCCTGAGACCTCACCGAGTGGTTCGTCAGAGTACCGAGGCCACTGGGCAGTTGTTCAGCCGCCGCAGAGGTGAACGACTGGTGCCAAGTTTAAGCTGAGAGCTGAATAAGGCATTTCAAAGGAGTGGATAATGTAATCCAGTAGAGTGTGTCGAGAATATAGCCCGAGGACAGTGGACACTGTAAATTCTGTGCGATGATGGTGTAGGGATCGATGGCTAGTAGGTCTGCTGACTGTAATTTTATTTTTTTTTAATTGATGATTGCTGACTGATTGAAAAATCAGTCGGCTGGGTGATAGAAAACTGTGACAAGCGACCAAAGATAAACAGATATTATTTACAAGAAAGAGAAAGGAAACAAGAAAACAGGAAAAAGGCAGTTTTTCTTGAGGAATGACTGATTGAATAGAAAACCAATTTTCTGTCAAGTGATTGTTAAGGCTGTCAAGGCCATTCTGTCCAGATGTATTGTGCTCAAAGGCTAAAAAAGTAAAGGACACTTTGTAATGCAATCAATCAGGAAAGTTCATCTTTGAGTTCTCTGTTATAAGACCAGTGACACTGTCATCCCAGCGCAGTGGGTGAGAGATGTTGCTGTATTCCAGTTAAAGTGCACGCTCCCTTGGGCTGATCAAAAACAGACCTAAAAGCTGCCACCGGGGCAGTCTGGATGGAAACGAGCATATTTTCCCCAAATCAAGCCCAGTTCTTTTTGACACTTGATCCGAGTGGCCGTCACCGCTCGGTGGCCCTGGCTCTTGATTATTGGCAAGCGTATTATGTCAACTCTGTAAATTCATGGCTTGCATGACCTGCACATGCATGCCACGTAACCGGACACTCTTCAAACAAGGCACCAGTGAAACAGAGGGCAGTGAAAGAGTAGACTCTGATTATTTCAGTCAGCACGTACCCTCCCCTGCACCAAGCATCATGAATCAACCAGTCATGACTCCGGGTCTGTGCGCCTCTCTGAATAGGTAACACAGGACCAAACGAACACAAAAACAGGCAGTAGTACAGATGGCCTTGTTCCCGGGGCTAGAAAGTGACACAAAGTGTACTCGTCCAGCATACAATGCCAAAAGGGACATTTGCAGACCCCTGAGTGTTTCTCAGGGTAAACCTCCCTGCCTTTGAACTTGTTTGCTTGAAATTCCACACAAGCCTGTAATGTTTAGCTGTGACTGCTGGCTTATTGAGAGTCCAGCGTTGTAACAGTGGCTCCTCTGTGCGCAGAGGCACACAGGGGCCCCTAGATGAAGTCCACAACCGCACAGCTGGAATCCTTTAATGACAGCTGAATGACCAGAGGCTGTCTACCTGAGAGAAGCTGCATAACAAAAAAACAGAGCTCAATTTCTTCTGTGTTTCGCAAACGACACTGATACATGGGTGTGGCTGGCATTGCCTGAAAGGCTTTAAGTTCTTACTGTACTGCTGGCAATGTGACATACGTCCATTAAGTGAAAGGAATGACAACCAACAGGATACTTGTAACTAAGGCCTATGCAAAAAAAGTCTCAATGACTCGAATGCTACAGTCACTGTAGACTCAGCTCACGGAGTCTGAAGTGTGGTCACACCATAAATATAATGTAGGTTAATAGAGCAGGCTGCTGTAATCCTCGGGACATTATCAGCCAGTACAGTACATGTGACATTAACGCATTGCTCGGACCCACCTGGATAGCCTCTGGTAACGGATAAATGCACACACCCCGGCACTGTTTGATCTTTGCAATCTTTTAAATGTCACAGAGCGTGCATGGATCGTCTCAGAGAAACGGAACCCCCAACGACTGCGGCGTCTGCACATACTGCTAAGGTATATCTGTGCAATGCAAGCCACACTGCAGGGACAGAAAGGACAGTCCCTAGCAACATATAAGGATTTTTCACACGGAATGATAGTTATTCCCCACCTTCGAAATCCAGCATCACGAAACAACACGGGAAAGATACTCCCAAGACTTAACCCTAATCTCCTCAAACAAGTTGAATCACTTCCCTTATAGAGCACAGAGAGAGAGAGAGGACTCGGGCTGCACGATTCTTACCCCCGTGTCTCGAAATGCGGGCTTGTCCACACGAAAGTATTTCCCAGCTGAAGGGGAAGACTACATCCACGTCCGGAAAAATTGGGGGAAAATGAATCCCAGATGAGTTTTAGACGCAGCTCGCAGCGATCAGGAGGCTTCCTGCGGTCGCCATGGCGGACGACTGAGTGAGTGAGCCGGGGAGAGACGGGATTACATTGAACCGAGCGACGGATCCACTCCTGCTGAATTCACTCAGACAATGAAGGAGGTGCAGCAGCACCTCCACCTTCCGAACAGCAGCTGCACACCGAGGAGCAACAGCACCACCCAGCGGCAGCTGCTGTAAAAAACACACTGCATTCAAACTTTATAAGTTAAGATAAGACTTACATTTACAAAGAGAGTGCGAAAACATCCTTAAATGTATACTTTTCTTCACAGTCGGTGATACGATTAACCCACAGGCGTTGTGCCGCTATAGCTGTAGCTACACTATGGTTACAATATGGTTATAGTGGCGCTATAGTGTAACTATTGTTTAAGTAACAAAAGTTGTACTATAGTGACATTATAGATAGTTACATCATGTATTTTTATATAAAAAATAGTTGCACTATAGTTACACTGCAGTGGTCCTATATTTACAGTAGTTACACTATAGTGGCGCAAACCACTTTGGTAAACGAAGGTCACGTTTGTGGAAACGTTAGAGGACCAGCAGGGAAGCTTTAGGGAGCAATCCCGGAAGTTACCTTGAAGGTTACTGCTTAATGGGTATGTGCTGTATTATATATGTGCTTCAACATCGACATTTCCCCCTTTTATTTCCACTTTAAAGTTGTTGTGATTTCAAACTCACTGTTTTCTTCTTTATGTGTGTTATACAGTTGTTTATGTATTTGCCTCAGGCACCAGGAAAATTGAAAGAGTAAACAATCACAACAATTAAAAAAAAAAAAAGCAGTACTAAGCATTGTCAGCATGTATTGAAACGGGAAGTCTTTTGTTAAATAAAAAGTGGAAGTGGTAATGTCCTACCCTCTGTTTCCTCCCGGTTGTGTGTACTATGTGTGGTCTGCTCACTTATTATCTTGTTTTTGGAAATAGAGAGTCACTGATCTAAGGACAGAGGTTAGTCGTGCAACAGCATCCATGCAACAGCATCCTCTAGAGTTTGCCAGAGACTCTTAGCTCAAGGACATTTCTGTAAGACATTGTTCTCTTTTATCAAACTACTGTATTCTGCGTCACCTATGTAAAAACCCAAACCCTGCAGTTTACCTGAGGTCCAGATAAGTTTGCTATAAAGTGAAATGCAGACGAAATACAAAAGGCCATAATCATGGACACATGTTTGGAAAAAATAAATTAATCCTTCAGTGTATGCATAACAGTGCGTGTAAGGATGTAAACTGAAAATGAGTCAAAGGTGTAGTTGTGTCACCATCAAAAACAAAGAAAACGATGCTAAGATATTAACTTGGCATCATGCTGATTTCCTTGTGTCCAAGTTCAGATTTTATTCAGTTTCTGTGATGTCCAAGCAGAGATCTGCAATGCTAATACATTTCTGAACTCTTCTACTACTTTGTTAAACTCACGGCATGTATTCAGAACAAATGTTATTTAAACCAGACAATATCAAAAAAGGCATTAGGAAAGGCATTGGTAAAGTTTGAAAGGGAGGACCAGACTAGTGCAGAATGTTAAAGAAGGATTTAAAAAAATGGCAAATATTGCCATCGTTATCACATGGCAAAATGATAAGGATATGAGAAAATGGATACTTGGACACACGGATGTAAAGTTGTGTGATAGCTGGTTTTGTGACCAGGGCTATTTCTTTGTGAAAAGTTTACATCCAGAGATGTCCAGTCCAGCGATCGCCAAGTGGTTTATTGCCTGGGATTGTTTAATTGTAAGGGTTTTTGCTTTAATACTGTGGTGTCTTTACACTGCAATACTGTAACATGTTTTAAAGTGTGAATCTGCACTATAAAATTAAATCTAATCATGAGAGCAACTGACAAAAAAACTGATGATCAAGCCCACAATTTTTCAGGCAGAACAAAAACATCAGTTTTTGTGCCATAGCAATATACGGTAAGCAGTGGTCTCATCTTTGTCATCCCTATAAAAACTGCTTGGCCTAACTACTGTAGTAAATGCTAGTGCACCCAGTAGTATCACTGATAAATTACTTGGCCAGTGGTCCCTGAAAGTGTCCAGCGATGATACTAACAAGCCAACTACAACTGACTTTGTGACTCTAATAATGACGGACAAGTCAGATTAAGAGAAACCTCTGGTTTAATCAGTCGGTTTATGAACAGTCGATTGCTCACATTATGTAATCATTGCCAACTGTTCACTGCTTTGTATGCCCTCCTTCCCTCTCTTTTTATGCAGAGTGGCCTGGGGCTTTGGCTTGGACCCGGGCCTCCACATCGCCCACGCCTCTGTGCATGCTATTGGGTCCAGGGACAGAGATAAAAGGCAAGGACTGCGGTGAAAGACCAAAACATTTTTTTCTTCTCCTTGCCTCTTTTTCATGTCTGCTGCTCGCCCACCTTCTCATTGGCAGGAAAGGAAGTCTCCTACGCTTTAGCGGTGTGGGACTGAAGATGGAGAAATTACACTTGGAACTGAGGCAAAGATTTACATTTCGGCAAGAGCGTGAAAACGAGCGAGAAAGAATAAACAGACCAGATACAATGCTGCTTTGGATTAGTTATGTAAGCAATCAAGATTTGGTGCCATGTTCTTAGTGATCTCTTATCCAGTTATGCAATAGCAAATGAAATCATTAAGTCAACTTATAGTCACTGCTGGGTGGGGAAACACTGCACACAAAAGTTTTACGTAATATCTATTCATTATATGACAATTTTTCATTCAGCCGGCTTTACATTTGACTGGTTTCCCAGAAGGTTAATAAAAAAAATAAAACCATATACTGGGAAAATGAAAACAAATATGTCACATCTAGATTCAAATGGGGTCATTTATATCAAGATCTTATGGATAAACTGGATCTACCAAATAAAACTGATGTAACAATACGAGCCTCCCACCCACTGATAGACATAAATACCTGCATCATCCTCAACCAGCTGTACAAAAAATGTATGCATAAGCAGCTGCAGTAAAATAAATAATAAGACAAGACCAAAGTGGAGATGTTTGGTCACGATGCACAGCATGGTGTTTGCAAGAGAACAGGATGAAGGTGTTGCAGTGGCCCAGTTAAAGTCCAGACCTCAACCTGACCGAAATACCTTAACCAAAATACTTCCACAACAATGTGAGAGACTGAAAAAGTCCTACAGAAAGCAATCACTTCAAGTTATTGCTGCAACGGTGGTTCTACAATCATGGAGTACTTTGTTTTTCAAAGAACTGTGAATACTTTTTTTCACAGGACTGTGTGTACATATATCATTAAGACTTGTAAAGACAAGTGAAGAGATCATTCACAAGAGGATAGAATGCTGTACAAATTGGCACTCTCATGAGACACTCGGTGTGAATTTGCCATGTAAGTCTTAAATTAGTATCAAGTTAAAGCTTGTAGATACAACTTAAACTTTTGTGTTTGCAGGTAAGTCCTTTAAACCAAAGAACGTATAATGGCCTTCAGGAGGCATAGACAGGTCCACTCCTCTCTAATTATAAATGGGGAATGGGTGGAATCTGTCTTCAATATCAGGTTTCTGGGAACCCACATCTCCGCTGGATCCACACCATTAACACCCTGGTAAAGAAGGCCCAGCAGTGGCTGCGCTTCCTCCGTGTTCTGAGGAAGAATAACCTTGAAGCTGCTGCTGGCCTTCTGCTGCTCCTCAGTGGAGAGTGTGCTCTCCTAGTGCCTGGGTGTTTAGTACACAGGGGCCACTACTAAGAACAGGAGGGTAATTTAACACTGCCCAAAAAATCATTGGCTGCTGTCCACCACCCCTGGAGGACATCGTCAGATCCTCATTAGAGGGTGAGGTGCAGGACACCCTGAGGCACTGCCCCTCTGGTCAGTGCCTCAGGGCAATCAGGTCCTACACCTCCAGGCTCACAAAAAACTTCTTCCCCTGGGCCATTCCCACTGTCAACAAACACTGTGCCTCCACCCCACCCCTGCCCCCTCACCTCACCAATCTGATCCATGGTCTGCGTAACCCCCATTACTCAGACCACTCACACACGCACTCTGTTCTGACCAACTCTTCTTCTTTGCAATACTTCGAAGCTCTCTTGATTGCATATATTTCTCCTGTTTGGTACTTATTCCTGCTGTGTACTATTTATTCTTTATTCCGGCACAGTTTGTGTGGAGCCCCACAAAGAAAGCAAAGTATGGGGTACAGAGTGGAATAATTTCATAATTAAACAGGGGAGGCTGACATGATGTAACCCAGGGCTCTATTCAAAATCTAAAACATTTTCACACAATATATTTCCCTGAAGATGTATTTTGGTCTGTGTGCAGCATACTCCTGTCACCATTTCCCACCGACTTTAAATACCAGGTCATTAGAGCTACACTTTCACATTTCTCCAACTGCCAGTGTTCCAGTTAGTGTGGATGTAGGCACACACACACACACACACACACACACACACACACGCACATTTCTGTGTCTAGAGTACTAACTACTGTTCAGCTGCTTAAAATAAACCTGCCTGTGCTGCTTGAAGCGTAGTAAATGTCCCAGTTGCTTTTATTTTATTTCATTTTTTTATTCTAAAAAAAGAGAAAAAATCCAAACTCTCTGTATCTGTGCATGCATACGTGACAGGGCTGTGCAAATTGTATATGCAGCATGACAATTACAACCACTGGATTCATGTAATTACAGCAGGAATCTTCATAAATCAGCAACTTCTATGTTTTTTTTTTTTAATCTAGTGCACATTTGCCTCCTGCAGCTCTTGTAAAGCATCATCGCTGTTTGGATGATATTTGAAATTGAGTGAATCCCTCATGAAATGTGTGTTTCAACAGCTGTGGTTATTATTCTTTTAGGATTTTCCATGCTTTGTGAATTATATTCAAAGAAAAAGCAGTTATACCCTTTTGATCTCAATCAGAATCTGAATATTAAGATATTTTGTTGTTAAAAATTACATTTATATTAAGACATTTTAGATCTTTTCTGTACTAAAGCAGAGGGAGGGAAATCTGTTTTGTTCAGAGAGTGACTATCCAAGACTTCCTCCTCTACACACAGCTCCTACTGTGTTCTCCACCTCTAGAAGAGAGAGAAACCGGCAGGG